TATGCTCTCTTATCCAGCAGTGGATCGATCGCGGCAGGCAATGATGATGATGACGTCACCGCGGAGGAGACACGAGAGCCCATGACGCAGAGAGAAAGAGAGACTGGGAGTGGTCCTCGGTGGCGGTGGTGGTGGGGGCGGTGGCGGTGGTGGGGGCGGTGGTGGTGGTGGCGGTGGTGGCGGTGGCGGTGGGGGCGGTGGTGGTGGTGGCGGTGGTGGCGGTGGCGGCGGTGGCGGTGGTGGCGGTGGCGGTGGTGGCGGTGGTGGTGGTGGCGGGGGCGGTGGTGGTGGTGGTGGTGGGGGCGGTGGTGGTGGTGGCGGTGGTGGCGGTGGCGGTGGGGGCGGTGGTGGTGGTGGCGGTGGTGGCGGTGGGGGCGGTGGTGGTGGTGGCGGTGGTGGCGGTGGCGGTGGTGGTGGTGGTGGTGGTGGCGGTGGCGGTGGGGGCGGTGGTGGTGGTGGCGGTGGTGGCGGTGGCGGCGGTGGCGGTGGTGGCGGTGGTGGTGGTGGCGGTGGTGGTGGTGGTGGGGGCGGTGGTGGTGGTGGTGGTGGCGGTGGTGGTGGTGGCGGTGGTGGTGGTGGTGGGGGCGGTGGTGGTGGTGGTGGTGGCGGTGGTGGTGGTGGCGGTGGTGGTGGCGGCGGTGGCGGTGGTGGTGGTGGTGGTGGCGGTGGTGGCGGTGGCGGTGGTGGTGGTGGCGGTGGTGGCGGCGGCGGTGGTGGAGGCGGCGGTGGCGGCGGCGGTGGTGGGGGCGGTGGTGGTGGTGGTGGTGGCGGTGGTGGCGGTGGTGGTGGGGGCGGCGGTGGTGGTGGTGGCGGTGGTGGTGGTGGCGGTGGTGGTGGTGGCGGCGGCGGTGGCGGCGGCGGTGGTGGGGGCGGCGGTGGTGGTGGTGGTGGCGGTGGTGGTGGGGGCGGTGGTGGTGATAAATCCGCGTCTGGATGCGCAGCCGCTGGGTCACGGCTCAACGTTCGGAGAAGACTCCCAATGAACGTTGCGGCAAGCTGCAAAAACAGAGTAACCGTCACCACAGCAACCGTCGCCACCGCACTCCTCGGCCGCAGCTGCGGTTGCAGATGTGGTGTTGAAGACGCGGTCCCAGGCGGAGCGGCAGCTGTTGGTGTAGGGGGCTCGGTCGCGCTCAGCGTAAAGCTGGCGTGGCAATGAGTCCATTGGGCCGATTACTTCGACTGGGAACTTTCAATCGACCACTCTGATTTAAGACCGACACATTTGGGGGAGGATTTCTCCACTAATATCTGGCGGTTGATGCCGGGTTTGTTGTGATCACCGGCGAAACGTTCACGGCTACTCGAATCGCTAATGTTGTCTCGCGTTTCACTCTCCAACACGCAAGCGGTGTGCTGCACAGGTAACGCATCGGCACGTTTTGTTTACGTGACGAACCTGCGTCGGGTGGTGGCGGGTTTTCACGACGCATTTATACTTAGACGATATAACCCAACAACCTTTGTTATGGATACTTTGTTTTTGGTGGTAGAGTCCTTGCCCTACCCAGGTAAGGAGACCCCCAACTGAGCGATCTCTCTCAGAGGCGACTCTGCCTATCGCGAATGATAGCTTGACGAAGTGGCTCATGGTCTTGTGGAAATTTACAGCAGCCGAAACACCCCCAACGGATCTTTCTAAAATGTGGCGGGGAAAACCGGAGCACCTGGAGAAAAATCCACACGACCACGGGGAGAGAGACACGCAAACTCTAAATATACAGCGGGCGTCGGGGTCCGGATCGAACCCACGACCTCCTGCGTACAAAGCAAGGTAGTCAACATCCCGCCACCGTGGCGCCTATCCTGTTTAAGAATCCCGCCCCCTGCCGAAGGAGGGAAACCACCAGATAAGTCACGCCCAGCGCCATGCGGCTGACGATGCTGACGATTTCACCGTGCACATCGCCTGTAACCTCCCGTCCAGCGGCACACGTGGGCGACAAAGGTGAGACCTTAACCGCCCCCCGCCCCGCCGCTCTGCACCAACCTGTTTTGGTAATTTCTGATGAGTCGAGCGATAAACAATGAACAATAATCGTCGGACTAGTGGATTATTTAAATAATCCGATAACGTAACGCCAAACAATATCTTCAATCAACCCGCATCACTCCTTTCTGGTGGTTCTAATCCACACAATGCTCGCGTAAATTAACCCAATCGACCGATGTTCGCTCGGCTACTATCGCAGCCGCATTCAAACTACGCAGCTTCAGTACTACCACGATGCGCCTGAAATATAATTAAGGATGGCCAATGATATCCGAGCACTAAAATCGCCTTACGACGCTCATCCACCACGCCAATCGCAAAGCAATTCAATCAAACGGCCATTGGACTCCGATCGTTAAAGCAGCCATTGCTATTCAGTGGCCTAAAATATGGCTCTAGGGTTTGTTGTTATAATTTATTTATGTAGTTTATTGTTACAAATTCGGTCACAGTCCCTATGATCACTGTTACATTGCATTTATGGCTTTTATTTTGGTGATTTCGAAAACGTTTTTTTGGTTTGGCCATGTTTGTGTTTATTGTAGTACGGAGTTAGACTGATGGCCTAAATCTTAGTTGTCTTGTGGTTGTTGTTGTTTGACTTGCATCCCACTGGGATTTTTGCACACAGCGTTGGTGTACGGTGCTATTTCAGGAATATTTTTATGTTTTTTTCCTGGATTTTCTGTTTGCACAGTCACAAAGTCACTTTAAGATGTTTTCTTGTTCGTGTTTTTTTTGTTTTGTTGCGGTTGCACCAGATTCAAGAGCCGAATGGCTCACAGGGCTCTACCTAATGAAGGGAACTGTGAACTATGACGTGCACGGCTGTCCTGATGATGTCACAGCGCCCACACGAGGACCCAGAAGATCGGGAAAAAGCTCTTTTAGAGGAGAGCCTCACGCCGACAATGATGGTGCTGGTTGCAGTTGTTGTTGTTGTTGTAGTCGCTATAACACGCGCATTGAAACTGCCCAAGTAATAAAAACAAACATCCGAGTCAGATTTGGCACGGTACGTAAAATTCAGAAATTAATGTCTGGTACAAAAGATGTATTACCGAAGCTATCAACAGAAGCTGTGTACAGGATTAACTGCACGTGTGCTAAATGTTATGTTGGGCAAACAGGACGAATGATCAGCACGAGACTAAAATAACATCAGATAAATATTAAATTCTCCCAAATGCAACTGTCAGCAGTAGAAGAACACGCGTGCCAACAAGGACACTCCATTGATTTTGATAATGTTGAAGTTCTGTGTAAAACTCTCTACTACTGACCAAGACTAATTAGAGAATCTATCGAAATTTAAAGAAATAAAAATAATTGTAACCGTTCGGATAGCTACCGCCTTAGTGCTGCGTGGAAGCGAATAATCAAATAATACATTGTTTAAACGAATGCCTATGAAGGGCACCATACTTCAGTAGGGATTACCATTGGTACGGCTCACATAATGCGCATGCATCATGTACGTCGACTCAGTAATCCGCCCCCTCCCACTTTGCGCAGGAGCGCAGAAGCGTGGTCACCACATCTACGCCTCTATATAAGGAACACAACAGGTGGACTTCTCCACAATCTGGCTGTCGCCTGATGAAGCTGGTTGTTGTTACTGGCGAAACGTCGTACTCAGATTGTAACTGTTGTGGCTTGGCTCTCCAACACACCGGTGTGCGGTACTAGTATACTACACTATACACTACACTATACACTACACTATACACTACACTATACACTACACTATACACTACTATACACTACACTATACACTTCACTATACACTATACACTACTATACACTACACTATACATTACTATACACTACTATACACTACACTATACACTACTATACACTATACACTACACTATACACTACTACTATATACTACACTATACACTACACTATACACTACTACTATATACTACACTATACACTACTATACACTACACTATACACTACTATACACTACACTATACACTAGTGCTGTACTAGTGACGAATTGGCCAGGTTCTGTTGACGTGACAACCCTTACTAGTTGGCTGTGTCGGGTGGTGGCGGGTTTTAACGACACAACATTTATATATGTTTACGCGATCTAACCCAAACAAAAACTCTATTATGGAAAACAAATAATAGTTGGTCATAAAAAATAATTGACTGGCGTTTCATTGTTCCTCTGCTTTTACTGATAAACCGAATCACTTGGGGGCACATTAGCCCACGTGATAGGACGACTTGATTTAATTGGCTCTGTCGGGTAGTTGGAGGAGCTCTAATTCGTTACAAATTGACATTTTGCACTGCACGGTCAGTGGTGCCAATTGCTATTTTAGTATTTTTTTCCAGTTGTGTGCTCTTATATGTGTGGGTGTGTGTCCTGGGGGAGCGGTGGTGCAGCGGTGAGCGCTACGCTGAGCTATGAACCCGGCGACCCGGGTTCGATTCCCTCTCACGGCCAACACCGGTGACGATTATCTGAACCGCTCGTGGGCCTCTCCTAGGTCGACTCGGCCTCAAATGAGCACCTGGTGCAGTGTGTAGTAAACCTCACCGCCACTGAGGAGACAAAGGCGGCCGGGCGTGGTGTTGGCCACCCAACCCCCTCGTGTGCCGTGCCGGCCTTCAATAGGTGCTACTCGCTAACAGCACTTGCCCCAGCAGTCTATCACGGCTGTACGGGGGATCTTTGCCTTTGCATGCACACGTGCCCTACGTACATGACTGCAACGTGTTTCCAATTTGTGGTGCTCCAGCAGTTATCTTCAATTGTTTAGCGAACTTGTTTCACGTTTCCCTTGGGCGCTCGCTCGTTGATCAACATGTGTTGTGTGCGCGCGTGTCTCTGTCTATGTTGCGGTGAGCGCTACGAACACGGCGACCCGATTCCCGCTCACGGCCAACACCAGTGGCGATGATAGCGATCTGAACCGGTCCTGGACCTCCCCTGCGTCGACTCAGCCTCAAATGATGACCCGGTGCAGTGTGTAAACATCGCCGCTGGGGAGACAAAGGCGGTCGGGCGCGGTGTTGGCCACCCACCCCCCCTCGTGTCGACCTTCACAGGTGTTCGCGAAGAGCACTTGCCCCAACAGTCTGTTACAGCTAATCCCTCACATTAACATCATGCTAATCCATCACATGAACAACATGCTAATCCCTCACTTTAAAAACATGCTAATTTCTCACATTAACATCATGCTAATCCATCACATGAACAACATGCTAATCTCTCACATTAACAACATGTTAATTTCTCACATTAACAACATGCTAATTTCTCACAGTAACAACATGCTAATTTCTCACATTAACACCATGCTAATCCCTCACATTAACAACATGCTAATTTATCACATTAACATCATTCTAATCCCTCACATTAACATCATGCCAATCCCTCACATTAACATCATGCTAATGATTCACATTAACATCATGCTAATCCCTCACATTAACATCATGCTAATCCCTCACATTAACATCATGCTAATCCCTCACATTAGCAACATGCTAATTTCTCACATTAACAACATGCTAATTTCTCACATTAACATCACTAGCCCAGGCCACTTCTTTATGACCCTTGGGCTACACCCTTTTCAAACCTTTTAAAACAGTCTGCCTCAGCAGCAGACCAAGGCTTTCCCACCTGATGATGGACGCTTGTGTGTTGCGCCCGAAACGTCGTGATTTAATTTATACCTACGTGACTTTACGATAGAACTAAAGAGTATGGATTCCTGCAGTGACGAAAGCTTCAAATCAAGACTGTTACAGGCTATTCGGGGGACCTTTGTCTTGCGTGCGTGTGTGCGTATGTGTGTTCGTGTATGCGTGTGTGTGTGTATGCGTGTGTCCGTGTGTGTGTGTATGCGTGTGTGTGTATGCGTGTGTATGCGTGTGTGTGTATGCGTGTGTGTATGCGTGTGTGTGTATGCGTGTGTGTGTATGCGTGTGTGTGTATATGCGTGTGTGTGTATATGCGTGTGTGTGTGTGTGTATGTGTGTGTATGTGTGTGTATATGTGTGTGTATATGTGTGTGTGTATGTGTATATGCGTTCAAGCCATGATCTGTCGAAGAATCCCTTCCATATGTTCCCTCCGGGATGAAGAGAGCAAGAGGGGGGTTGTGGCAGACGATGTTGGGGCGGGCAGGGGGGTGGTAGATTTATATCGAGGATATGTGTGTAAACGCTTCCCCGCTGCTCGTAAATTTTGCGCCCATGCTTCCATTGAAGCCGCTTAACAGAGGCCAGCATCCACCCGCACGGCCGGTCGGGCCGTACGGAGAGGCAGCTGTCTCTGATTCAGACCCCAAATTGCGTGCGCGTGAATCTGTGATCGTGCGGCAGTGAGCGAGCCGATCCCTGCTTTGTCGAGCAATAAAACACAATAAGTAATATTTAAAAGCAACTTTTTTAAAAAAAAAACACGCTTTTGTGAAATGTACCGTACGAGTAATGGCAGAACTCCACGACTCCACGAAGCGGCCCCGAGGCCACTTACAGCCAACGTCAGTTGAGCGTGGACAATTAGAACCAAACCGTAAACATAACATATACAAAATAATGCTTAAAAATATTTTTTTTTCAATGATAGAATATAGTATTGTCATCAGTATCACATAATTATACCAAGTTTGCAGTCGATACCACATTGGGAAGTGGGTTAAAATTTAGTTACAAGCTTTGAGGATACAGCAACAACAGACAGAGTGAGTTACTAAAAAAAAGCGTGTAATAATAAAAATAAAAGTAACCTCACAGCGGAGCATGTTTGAACCCGGGTCCCTGGGCCGCCTCGAGGTGGAGTCGGCCACGCTGCCGGACATCTGTGACAAAGAGCTTCACGGCTCATAGGATTTCTCCGGTATAAACAAATATTCTGATGCTTGCAAATGAGTCCCTGATGCGGTGCGTGCGAACTTCACCATTTGCTCACCCACGCGCTCTCTCGTGTGCCACAGTGCCCCGGGGCCTTCATAGGCGCTGCTAACTCGCTCCGAACAGAGCACTTGCCCCAACAGCCGGGTCGAGGCTACATGGGGGATCTTTGTCTTTTGTTTAACGGGCAGCAAATTGGCTGAACGCATGGACAAATCTTTTAGGAGGCGTCGCAGGACAGGGTATAAACTAACAGGCTGCAATACAAGCGAGCACGATGGGAAGACGACCTCATCAAATGAACTTAACTTTGTGGCATCGACCACTTCAATGCTGATTTAAATCAGCAGTGGCGTGCTAATTTAAAAGATCAGCACACATCCCTTTGCTAATGTTTTTTTTAAATGTACAGTGAGGGAAAAAAGTATTTGATTCCCTGCTGATTTTGTACGTTTGCCCACTGACAAAGAAATTATAATTTTAATGGTAGGTTTATTTGAACAGTGAGAGACAGAATAACAACAAAAAAATCCAGAAAAACGCATGTCAAAAATGTTATAAATTAATTTGCATTTTAATGAGGGAAAACAAGTATTTGACCCCCTCTCAATCAGAAAGATTTCTGGCTCCCAGGTGTCTTTTATACAGGTAACGAGCTGAGATTAGGAGCACACTCTTAAAGGGAGTGCTCCTAATCTCAGCTTGTTATCTGTATAAAAGACACCTGTCCACAGAAGCAATCAATCAGATTCCAAATTCTCCACCATGGCCAAGACCAAAGAGCTCTTAAAGGATGTCAGGGACAAGATTGTAGACCTACGCAAGGCTGGAATGGGCTACAAGACCATTGCCAAGCAGCTTGGTGAGAAGGTGACAACAGTTGGTGCGATTATTCGCAAATGGAAGAAACACAAAAGAACTGTCAATCTCCCTCGGCCTGGGACTCCATGCAAGATCTCACCTCGTGGAGTCTCACGATCATGATGAGAACGGTGAGGAATCAGCCCAGAACTACACGGGAGGATCTTGTCAATGATCTCAAGGCAGCTGAGACCATAGTTACCAAGAAAACAATTGGTAACACACTACGCCGTGAAGGACTGAAATCCTGCAGCACCCGCAAGATGCCCCTGCTCAAGAAAGCACATATACATGTCAGTCCGAAGTTTGCCAATGAACATCTGAATGATTCAGAGGACAACTTGGTGAAAGTGTTGTGGTCAGATGAGACCAAAATGGAGCTCTTTGGCATCAACTCAACTCGCCGTTCTAGATTTGAAGCTTTCGTGACTGCAAGGATCCATACTCTTTGGTTCTATTCGGTAAAGTCACGTAGGTAAAAAATAAAACAACAAAAATCACGACGTTTCGGCCACAACACAAGTAGCCTTCTTCAGGTGAAGGAACAGAACTGTCGGGACGACAGAGCTTCAATGAACGCTGCTAAGATTCGTAGCGTCTTTTACGCTGGGTGAGAGAAGTGAGGCACCTTGACAAAGGAGTTTACATATCAAACAGGAGAATTTAGCATTGAAATAGCTGAGGGATTAGCTTGTGACTGGTCACAGAAATGGCTATGTTAAAGTCAAAGTTTACACATCCACAGAGGCACCTAGTACATGGACGACAAAGGGGCTGCACTACCCAACTAACATACAGTAAACCGATGTGAAAAAACTAAGTCTAAATTACATCAATATAATAAATGTACTCAATATATTCTTCAATAAGCTGAGCTATTAATAGCAACTGGGTATACACTTCGATGGTGTGAAAAGGGAATTTTAAGAGCTGCGAAAGTTTGGGGTACCACTACTTGAAAAAATATACTGTACCATTGAAAATTAGTTTAATGTTTGGTTCGATTTAAAACATCTTTCCAATGGTTGCTTAATTTGAAACCATCTTCTCGGTTGAAATTGTGTCTGTGTTTGTAAATCTGAATTGCCTCGTGAACAAATCTCTGATAAAAACCCGTGGGTTTGCAAAGAACCTTGGTATCGGAGAAAATTATATCGTGATCAACCACAGCGTTGTAACAGTGATCAGCTACGGCAGAAAAAATCATTCTGCCGTGTTTCAAATCTGATTTGTGCTCGCGAATTCGGTCAGAGAAATGTCGCTTCGTCTCCCCGATATAGCAATCACCGCAGGTACAACTCAATTTATAAACCCCGGGGTACTGTAAGTCAGGAATGACATCCTTCACGGATGGGATCAGATCACGAATTTTGTGTACTGTATTGAACCGGACCTGGATCTTGTGTTTGTTTAGAATTTTGGAAATCTTTTTAGTAACGCCTGCTATATATGGTAGTGTGATGGTTTTGACCGGAGTATCAAGTGGTTGTTTCTGTATGGAGGGAGAAACAGCTTGGCGGATGGTACGGTCAGAGTATCTATTCCTTTTGAGGGCCAGGTGTACATGTTTTAATTCACTGGTCAGGTGGTGTTGGTCCGAAATGCAATGAGCCCTATGGTATAAAGTTTTGATGAGATAATTCTTTTGAGCTGGGTGGTGGTGGGAATCAGGTTTCAAGTAGGAATCTGTGTGGGTGGGTTTCCTGTAGACAGAATGCCCCAGTGAGCCATCAGGTCTCCTCTCAAACAGAACATCCAAGAATGGTAGCTTGCCATCTTTCTCCACTTCCATGGTGAATTTGATGGCGGGATGTCTGGAATTGATGTGGTGTAGGAAAAGGTTCAGAGCTGGGAGGCCATATGGCCAAATGACGAAAGTGGACGACGGTGTATCGCGTAGGCCCCTGGCCAACAACCGAACTCACGCTCGCAGCAAGCGCCTGCGTGAGGGAGACGAGGGGGGGTCCCCGTCGTGAATTTGGACGAATTTCTTGGGTCGTGAGAGAGAGGAAAGGCGCGGCACTGCTCAGACACAGACTGGGTCCAACTCCCTCCCTCACTTCCCTCCCTCCCTCCCTCCCCTCCCTCCCTCCCCCCTCCCTCCCTTCCTTCCCTCCCTCCCTCCCTCCCCTCCCTCCCTCCCTCCCCTCCCTCCCTCCCTCCCTCCCTCCCTCCCTCCCTCCCTCCCTCCCTCCCCTCCCTCCCTCCCTCCCCTTCCCTCCCTCCCTCCCTCCCCTCCCCTCCCTCCCTCCCTCCCTCCCTTCCCTTCCCTCCCTCCCCTCCCTCCCTCCCCCCTCCCTCCCCTCCCTCCCCTCCCTCCCCTCCCTCCCTCCCTCCCTCCCTCCCCTCCCTCCCCCCTCCCTCCCTCCCTCGCTCCCCTTCCCTCCCTCCCTCCCCTCCCCCTCCCTCTCCCCTCCCCTGCCCTCCCCCCTCCCCTCCCTCCCCCCCTCCCTCCCCCCTCCCTCCCTCCCCCCCTCCCTCCCTCGCTCCCCTCCCCTTCCCTCCCTCCCCTCACCTTCCCTCCCTCCCACCCTCCGAATCCACCACCATGCACCGCCAACGCCCGTGCCATCTCACCCCCCATCTGGTCTCCATGGCCATCTACACCTCCCCCCCCCCCCCCACTGAACATCTGTTAAACAAAACAAAAACAATATACTGTATCTGTATCGCTCATCGGATTGCTTCCGGTAAAAATTAATATTCTGACTCTTGTCCCTTCTCCCCCCGACCCCTTTTCAAATCCGGCACAATAGCGGCACCACAATCATCATCATCGTCACCACATGTTTGCCAACATGAGGTCAACATGCACCCCATTTGAATGTTGTTGTTGTTGTTGCTGTTTACTGAGCACCACATTTGAACGCGCTGCGCAGTGTTGGCTTGCTGTTGAAGCGGACCGACAACAGCAGAAGACGACGGGGAAGGGCCGTCTGGCGCGCCACGTGTGACCCGGTGACTTCACAACTGGGCATCCACGCGCGAGTTGACGATCCGTTGCCGCACCGACGGATCGTCATCACAACAGTCCACGCAGCTGAGGATTCTGGCGTTGTCTGGCACGTGGCGTGAGTTGTGGGTGCCTCCAATCGACCCCCACCTCCCTTCCCCTCCCTCGTGTGAGCGCAGCTGATCAATGCACCGAGTGAGTGGAGGGGAGTGTCCAGATTGGATGCATGATTGACGTTAAATGCACAGATGTGGGGGAGGAGGGGGGGGGGCATGATAACACCCGCAGGCCTTCTCAAACCCAGTCCTCGCACCGCCACCACCACTCGCTACACGCCGCACGCGCCCGATGATTGTTACACGCGTCCCACGTGACACGCTAAGCAATCGACGGCTGTCTGCGCGAATAAAAGGCGATTGGCATTGGGGCGCGTCGCGTCCTGCCCCCGTGAGGTCGTGATCGCTGGCGCTGCGTCTCCCAGCAGCAGCAGCAGCAGCTGTCTCATCCCCACACCGATGTCGCCCCCCCCTCACCTCGCCCCCCCCCCATTCCCCCCACCACCCCCTTCACCTCCCCCCCATCACCCCCCACCCCCCCTACCACCCCCTTCACCTCCCCCCCACCCTCACCCCCCCATCACCCCCGCCCCCCACGTGAGTGGCTGTCGAGGCAACAAGACCCCCAAAAGGGCGAGAGAGTACAAAGTAAATAAATAAATAATACGGCTTACAAGGCGCGCGCTGACCTCGTGACTCCGCTTGGCTCGTTCCGTGTAGCTGAAACGTCGTCATTGTCACGGGGGGGGGGGTCTCTGTCGACGTCCAGTTCGAGACCCCCGGGGCCTGCCCAGGGACACACCGCTGCTGCTGCTGCTGCTGGCGGGACAACGTCGCTTGGAGTGGCCTGTAGTGTATAGTGTAGTGTATAGTGTAGTAGTGTGTAGTGTATAATGTAGTGTATAGTGTAGTAGTAGTGTATAGTGTAGTGTATAGTGTAGTAGTAGTGTGTAGTGTATAGTGTAGTAGTAGTAGTGTATAGTGTAGTGTATAGTGTAGTAGTAGTGTATAGTGTAGTGTATAGTGTAGTGTGTAGTAGTAGTGTAGAGTGTAGTGTAATGTATAATGTAGTAGTAGTATAGACTGTAGAGTGTAGTGTATAGTGTAGTAGTAGTGTATAGTGTAGTGTAGTGTGTAGTAGTAGTGTAGAGTGTAGTGTATAGTGTAGTAGTAGTAGTGTATAATGTAGTGTATAGTGTAGTAGTAGTGTATAGTGTAGTGTATAGTGTAGTAGCGTATAGTGTAGTAGTAGTGTATAGTGTAGTGTATAGTGTAGTAGTATTGTATAGTGTAGTGTATAGTGTAGTAGCATTGTATAGTGTAGTGTATAGTGTAGTAGTAGTGTATAGTGTAGGGTATAGTGTAGTAGTAGTGTATAGTGTAGTGTATAGTGTAGTAGCGTATAGTGTAGTAGTAGTAGTGTATAGTGTAGTGTATAGTGTAGTAGTAGTGTATAGTGTAGTGTATAGTGTAGTGTATAGTGTAGTGTATAGTGTAGTAGTATTGTATAGTGTAGTGTATAGTGTAGTAGTAGTGTATAGTGTACTGTATAGTTTAGTGTATAGTGTAGTGTATAGTGTAGTGTATAGTGTAGTAGTAGTGTATAGTGTAGTAGTAGTGTATAGTGTAGTGTATAGTGGAGTGTAAAGTAGTGTATAGTGTAGTAGTATATAGTGTAGTGTATAGTGTAGTGTAAAGTAATGTATAGTGTAGTGTAAAGTAGTGTATAGTGTAGTGTATAGTGGAGTGTAAAGTAGTGTATAGTGGAGTGGTAGTGTATAGTGGAGTGTATAGTGTAGTAGTAGTGTATAGTGTAGTAGTAGTGTATTGTGTATTAGTAGTGTATAGAGTAGTGTATAGTGTAGTAGTAGTGTATAGTGTAGTGTAGTAGTAGTGTATAGTGTAGTGTAGTATTAGTGTATAGTGTAGTGTATAGTGTAGTCGTAATGTATAGTGTAGTAGTAGTGTATAGTGTAGTGTATAGTGTAGTAGTAGTAGTGTATAATGTAGTGTATAGTGAAGTATTAGTGTATAGTGCAGTAGTAGTGTATAGTGTATTAGTAGTGTATAGTGTAGTAGTAGTAGTGTATAGTGTAGTAGTAGTGTATAGTGTAGTAGTAGTGTATAGTGTAGTAGTGTAGTGTATAGTGTAGTAGTAGTGTATAGTGTAGTAGTGTATAGTGTAATGTATAGTAGTAGTAGTGTATAGTGTAGTATATACTGTAGTAGTGTATAGTGTAGTGTATAGTGTAGTAGTAGTGTATAGTGTAATGTATAGTGTAGTAGTGTATAGTGTAATGTATAGTGTAGTAGTAGTGTAGTAGTGTATAGTGTAGTGTATAGTGTAGTGTATAGTGTAGTAGTAGTGTATAGTGTAGTGTATAGCGTAGTAATAGTGTATAGTAGTAGTGTATAGTGTAGTGTATAGTGTAATGTATAGTGTAGTAGTAGTGTATAGTGTACACTACTATACACTACATCATCATCATGGTCACTACACTACTATACACTACATCATCATCATCCTGGTCACTACACTACTATACACTACATCATCGGACATTTGTGACGATGTGTGATGATGTGTGACGAGGGGGGGGGGGTGACAAATATGACGTCAAATCAAAATGCAAAACTTAAAATAAATATAGACAACACGTTCTACTTGTTTTCTCCTGCAACATCAGAGTGCAGCGCCACATTAAATACGCACTACAATGACAATAGTTTAAAACGATTTGAAGCATGTTTTATTTGGGGGGGGGGGGGGGTGCAGAGCTTTGTGACGTCATATTTGAGGGGGGGGTCTGACTTTGTGACGCCGTGTGACGAAGGGGGGGGGGTCAAAAATCGTCCAAAATCGCGTGACGTCATTTATGGACGGCCCCAAAGGAATGGGAACGAATCGTCAGCCAACAACCCTTTTGCGCTGTGCCCAACCGCATGGCATCGTCCCTCTGTTTATTGCTGTTTAGCGGCTGTGGGTCTAAGAGACACCAACAATAATAATATCTCGGCTCTGGCTCTACTCGAACTCGCCATGGCGATCGGTCATCGCACGATGGTGTTGCGAGTTAATACAAACACGCACACGTGATAATATAATATCGTTAGAAAAATAATCATGATACTTTACAAACGGACATTCGTACAGGGTGGCCCAAAGTTCGGGGCACAGGGTCACTTTATTTATTTTAAGCCATCGCATAGGGTTATTTGCTTTATTTAACAAATGTTCTATTTAACATGAATGCATGGGGGGGGGGGGGGGTGTCTAGACAGTGGGAGCAGACTCCGAGATGGAGCGACCTCCTCTCGTGGAGTGAAGGTTGACGACTGGGGGCGGCTCTGTGTGTTGCTGAGTAGTGAGACGAGAGGTAGGGGAGTGCGTGGAGGGGAGTGGAGTGAGATGGGAGGGGAGAGGTAGGAGAGTGCGTGGAGTGGAGTGAGATGAGAGGGGAGAGATAGGAGAGTGTGTGGAGGGGAGTGGAGCGAGATGAGAGGGGAGAGGTAGGAGAGAGCGTGGAGTGGAGTGAGATGAGAGGGGAGAGGCAGGAGAGAGCGTGGAGTGGAGTGAGATGAAAGGGGAGAGGTAGGAGAGTGAGTGGAGGGGAGTGGAGTGAGATGAGAGGGGAGAGGTAGGAGAGTGTGTGGAGTGGAGTGAGATGAGAGGGGAGAGATAGGAGAGTGCGTGGAGGGGACTCGGAAGGGGACTGCACGAGGCCTGGAGCGATGCCATCACGTGGTCGTGGTGCACAGTTGACCACGTGACTCCGGAGGCAGAGAGTTCGCAACCCGCTCGAGGCTTGATTGGGCCCATCACCGTGGCCGTGGTCGATGAAGATACCAAAACGTTCAGGGCAAAGGCAACTGTCCTTGCCCCCACCCATAGGAATGTGGAATTTCCACCGCTGGCTCTTGCAGGGCTGTGAACGGGAGATGAACACCGATGCCTTTATCGATGGCTCATTGGCGCAAAATAAATCACTCGGAGGCTCCCACGTGCGCTGCCGCTGCGTGCGTCAAGGTCGCGTCGAGAAAGTCGAGGTTGAGTCGAGGTAGAGTCGAGATGGAGTCGAGATTGAGTCGAGGTTGAGTCGAGATGGGTCGAGATGAAGTCGAGATTGAGTCGAGGTCGCGTCGAGGTGAGTCGAGATTGAGTCGAGATGGGTCGAGATGAAGTCGAGATTGAGTCGAGGTGGGTCGAATTTGAGTCGAGTTGAGTCGAGATGAGTCGAGCTTGAGTCGAGATTGAGTCGAGATGAGTCGAGATGAGTCGAGGTGAGTCGAGTTGAGTCGAGCGTGAGTCGAGGTTGAGTCGAGGTAGTCGAGATTGAGTCGAGATTGAGTCGAGCTTGAGTCGAGATGAGTCGAGATGAGTCGAGTTGAGTCGAGAAGAGTCGAGATAAGTTGAGTTTGAGTCGAGGCGAGTCGAGGTTGAGTCGAGATTGAGTCGAGATTGAGTTGAGATTGAGTCGAGGTGAGTGGAGGTAGTCGAGATTGAGTCGAGATGAGTCGAGATTGAGTCGAGATTGAGTCGAGATGGAGTCGAAATTGAGTCGAGATTGAGTCGAGGTGAGTGGAGGTAGTCGAGTTTGAGTCGAGATGAGTCGAGTTGAGTCGAGTGTGAGTCGAGGTTGAGTCGAGATTGAGTCAAGGTGAGTGGAGGTAGTCGAGATTGAGTCGAGATGAGTCGAGTTGAGTCGAGTAAGTCGAGAGCGAGTCGAGTTGGGTCGAGGATGAGTCGAGGTGAGTCGAGTTTGAGTCGAGTGAGTCGAGAGTGAGTCGAGGTGAGTCGAGTAGAGTCGAGATGTGTCAAGGTTGAGTCGAGTGTCGAGATGAGTCGAGTTTGAGTCGAGGTGCGTCGAGATGGAGTCGAGGTTGAGTCGAGATGAGTCGAGATTGAGTCGAGATTGAGTTGAGCTGCGTCGAGGTTGAGTCGAGGCGAGTCGAGATTGAGTCGAGATTGAGTCGAGATTGAGTCGAGGTAGTCGAGATTGAGTCGAGATAAGTCGAGATGAGTCGAGTTGAGTCGAGATGAGTCGAGATTGAGTCGAGGTGAGTCGAGGTCGAGTCGAGATGAGTCGAGATGAGTCGAGATGAGTCGAGATCGAGTCGAGGTTGAGTCGAGTATGAGTCGAGGTGTCGAGATTGAGTCTAGGTGAATCGAGATGGAGTCGAGTGAGTCGAGGTTGAGTCGAGATCGAGTCGAGATGTATCGAGAGTGAGTCGAGAATGAGTCGAGGGGTCGAGTTTGAGTCGAGGTGAGTCGAGGTTGAGCCGAGATGAGTCGAGCTTGAGTCGAGATGAGTCGAGATTGAGTCGAGGTTGAGTCGAGAGTTGAGTCGAGCTGCCCTCTCGGGCCGCGCGCTCTTGTCGACGTCCAACGGGTTCCCCGTGCTTGTCGGGATCCTGCCACGGGGCGACTTCCTCGGCTGGCCCCGAGGTCTGTGAGAGAATCGGGCGCGCATTCCCCAAGGGGTTTTTTTTCTGTCATCGGTCTGGAGGCATCACCGACTACCGTTTAAAACAAACAAACAAACAAAAAAACGTTTTGGGAAAAATCTGAAAGACGGTGCCAGAAGGGACTTGGACCTGGTGCGATTCCCGGATTCGTCGCGGTCTGTGTCGACTGCGGGGAAAGCTTCTCAACGCCAAGGGGGAAGCAGGGGGAGGATCGGGATGGAGCTGGGGGGGGGGGATGGAGAGCCAGTGCGGAGGTTGCGGGAACCGAGTCGCGGGGTAATTTCGGGTCACGTCGGGGAATCCCCAAATCGCTCCCACGTCGCCGAGATTTGAGAGCTGTGGCTGGAAGGGTGTTGGGCACCGTCACACAAGGGGCCACCCACCCCCTCGTGTGCCGTGCCGGCCTTCATAGGTGCTGCTCGCTAACAGCACTCGTCCCAACAGTCTGTTACAGGCTACACGGGGGGATCTTTGTCTTTGTCTCTCGGTCGGTCGGTCGGTCGAGCCGCAAATCTTCATTTAAAGTAGAATCGGAGCAGACTGGGATGGAATGTCGCTCGCAACTCCAACTTGGGTAACCCCACGATGCACCGCTGATACTGCACTGAATATCAACCCCACGATGCACCGCTGGTGCTGCACTGAATATCAACCCCACGATGCACCGCTGATACTGCAGTGAATATCAACCCCACGATGCACCGCTGATACTGCAGTGAATGTCAATCCCAATTCCCTCCCACTAGTGCGCTCACCCCCCCCACCCCCCCCCGAAATGGCGCAATTACCCTCGTGTGTCCTCCATAGTTTCAGAAGGGGGAGAGAGTGCAGCGGGACTCCGTGCTCACTGGGCCACGAGGCCTTCCCCCAACCCTGCCCCCCCCCTCCCCCGTTTAAGACGTGGCAGCCCTGTGATGTTCAACAATACGGGGCAATTACAGGACCACAGATCGCCTTGATTGGGGGGGGGGGGGGTGCTGCGTCAAATTATCCACATCTGGGCTCGCTTCTTCCCGACTTCCTCGTCTGGTGCAATTCTGCCCGAGTGTGTCCCCCCACACACGGGGCTTTACACTGTCATGCAATAACATTTTTGCACATCTTTTTATGTTTATTTCTTTGCCAGTATGCCTAACATCCTCTCCAACCCCCACTCACCCACCCACTCACCCCCACACCATCGCGTCAGACCCAGCATTAGGGATTCCGGACATTCGTAAATGCTCGACATCTCACTGTAAATGTTGCGAGCGAGACGTCGGTGGATTTGAGCGTTACCCCCCCCCCCCCCACGTTGAACTTCTTTCACACAGCACGTTGCCAACCGTGCTCAACGGTGGCGCGGGACTGCGTGTCGTGTCCGGTGGGGCTAGGCGTGTAGTGCCCGCCCTGAATGTAAGGAGGCTTTGTGCCCTGATTCTACACATGGGAGGGTTTTCACCACCCCCCCTCCTACCACAGCTTGGCCCCCTATTGCTGAACTTACGGAGGGGGATTTCTCCGCGATTCTGGCCGTCCGCCTGACGATGCTGGTTGTAATTACCGGCGAAACGTCGTACTCCGACGGTGAATGTCGTGCGCTTACTCTCCAACACACGAGCGGTGTGCTGAACGAGCCAACGGATCGGCACGTTTCGTTTCCGTGACACAACTCTTACGAATTGGCTGTGTCGGGTGGTGGCGGGCTTGATGACGCATTTACACTTACGCGATCTAACCCCCCCCAAAAAACCCCCTCTCTACCATGGATAGTGTTGGTCGCGAAAGCCCTATTGCTACTACTACTACGTGTTAAAACTGTCCCAAATGTTTACTTGCTGTCCCCCAACAATCCACACTCCTCCTCCTCCGAGGTGGCCGAAGAACCCAAATCAATCAGCAGATGACATCGAGGTCCTCGATGGGTCCCGGACGACCGCGTGAGGAGTAGCAGAGTTGGCCGTCGCCGCCGTGGCAATTCCGCCCTCGCATAGCTCGCCGTGCCGAGTCTACGGGTCTCCGTGCGATGATATTCATCTGCGCGGGCCTTTGTCTCTCCCTCCCTCTATCTTCTTCTTCTTCATAGCGCGCAGCACGACATGAACCCGGCGACCCGAGTTCGATTGCCCGGCCACGACTAAAATGGGTGGCGAGTCGACGCCCGAACCGGTGCCGGGGCCCTCCCCACCGTGGCGCCAACCCACACCTGGCCAGCGTGATGAAGTATGGTCGCAGAGCAACCACGACCAAAACAGCACGGCGAGGAGAAGAGAGGCCTTCATCCAGCAGTGGATTGACTAAGGGCTGTGCGTTGACAGTGCACCGTTTGGCAGAGCGTTGCCGAGAAACTGCCCGGCATCGATGACGACACCGCACATCTGCGATGGCAGCGATGGGCAACCCCGTGACCCCACGCGGCGCCCCCCCCCCCGCATCTTCCGCCCCCCGCGAGGTCGAGCCGGCCGAGTCGGTGCCGGAGGGCGACGCCACAGATGATCTCGGAACACAACGGGCGGCGTTGTGGCCGGCGCCGTTGCCAAGTGCCGGGCGGGAATAATATTCCAATTGTTGCTTTGGGCGTCGAAGTCGTCGGACTGATGCACTTCCACTCGGAAAAATCCAAAAATAGGCTCAGCTTGGAGCACTGCGCCGCCTCCACTGCCACCGCCTCCACCGCCACCGCCGCCACCACCACCACCACCACCGCCTCCACCGCCACCACCACCACCACCACCTCCACCGCCTCCACCGCCTCCACCGCCACCACCGCCTCCACCGCCACCGCCACCACCACCGCCTCCACCGCCACCACCGCCTCCACCGCCACCACCGCCTCCACCACCACCACCACCACCGCCACCGCCACCAACCCCACCACCAAATCCACTGCCACCACCACCACCATCATCGCCGCCACCGCCACCACCACCACTGCCTCCACCACCACCGCCTCCACCGCCACCACCACCTCCACCGCCGCCTCCACCGCCACCAACCCCACCACCAAATCCACCGCTACCACCACCGCCACAGGCGCTGGGATGGAGTGAACCACAGGCGGGCTGTGCCAGAGTTCCCCCCACTCCGAGCTCCGCCGTCCTCTCTCTATATTTATGAAGGGTGTTACAGGCCAATTAATGATGAACGTTTATTAAACACCGGGGCGTCCGGAAGTAACCCCGCACGTGCGCGCGCGCGAGGGGGCAACACTCTATCCCCGTACAGACGGGACTGACGAGAGGAATGGTCAACGGAAGCCGGATCTCGCAGAACTAGTCCCGAGATCCCACTCGATGACGACGCTCCCAACGAGCCCTCCCTGCTGCAGCGACGGCACTCCCAGCGAGCCCTCCCTGCTGCAGTGACGCTCCCAGCGAGCCCTCCCTGCTGCAGTGACGCTCCCAGCGAGCTCTCCCTGCTGCAGCGACGACACTCCCAGCGAGCCCTCCCTGCTGCAGTGATGCTCCCAGCGAGCCCTCCCTGCTGCAGTGACGCTCCCAGCGAGCCCTCCCTGCTGCAGGGACGCTCCCAGCGAGCTCTCCCTGCTGCAGGGACGCTCCCAGCGAGCTCTCCCTGCTGCAGGGACGCTCCCAGCGAGCCCTCCCTGCTGCAGGGACGCTCCCAGCGAGCCCTCCCTGCTGCAGTGACACTCCCAGCGAGTCCTCCCTGCTGCAGCGACGACGCTCCCAGCAAGCCCTCCCTGCTGCAGTGACGACGCTCCCAGCGAGCCCTCCCTGCTGCAGTGACGACGCTCCCAGCGAGCCCTCCCTGCTGCAGTGACGACGATCCCAACGAGCCCTCCCTGCTGCAGTGACACTCCCAGCGAGTCCTCCCTGCTGCAGTGACGACGCTCCCAGTGAGCTCTCCCTGCTGCAGTGACGACGCTCCCAACGAGCCCTCCCTGCTGCAGTGACACTCCCAGCGAGCCCTCCCTGCTGCAGGGACGATGCTCCCAGCGAGCCCTCCCTGCTGCAGCGACGCTCTCGTTGGAGTGGCGGTCAAATGGACATCGCGTTGCTGAAAAAGAGAGCTGAATGTTCGCCGTTTTGGGAGTTTTGGCAAATCAACTGAAGACCAAATGTAAAGATGCAGTCGTTGGGGACCTTCAGATTGCTGTACAGGAGAACCGAGTTTAATCGCGATGTACACAAGCCTTTTATGTACGTATGCATACAGAGCATGAGTGTGTGTGTGTCTGTTAGTGTGTCTGGGGAGGAGTGTTCCGCTTCCCGCACACGGCCAACACCGGTGACGATTATTTGAACTGGTCCTGGGCCTCCTCTAGGTCGACTCAGCCTCAAATGAGTACCCAATGCGGTGTGTGAACATCGCCACTAGGGAGACGAAGGCGGTCGGGCGTGGTGCTGGCCACCCACCACCTCGTGTGCCGTTCCGGCCTTCATAGGTGCTAGCTAACAGCACTTGCCCTTACAGTCCGAGGCTATGCAGGGGGTCTTTGTCTTTGCATGCGGCGTGTGTAAGGCACGTGTTTAAATGTACGTCGACTTAACAAGCAAACAAAACCTATATTATGGATGATACTGGTCGCGAAGGCCTACGTGTTAAACTGTACGTTGACATGTCGGTAATACGGAGCGTATATGCGTTGTGCGGGTATATCTACAAAGGGCACGTGTGTTTGTACAAATCCCCGGCCATGGCCAAGCTCAGTGCAGGGTGACGATCAGAATCTGTCGCGATCCCTCTCCGAAGTCGACTCTGCCACAAACAAGCAGCCGCGTGCAGTGTGTCAACGTGAGCACTGGGGAGGTGGTGTTGGGCGGTGGTGGTGGTGGTCACACCGTCGCCCTAAATACGCGCACAGTACTGGCCTTAATAGGTGCTCGCTAACAGCAGTGCGCGTCCGGCTCATGCGCGGGTACGCCACTCAGGTGTGCAAGGGACACAGGTGTGTGTGGGTGTGTAGTGGTGTGTGTGTTTGGGTGTGTGTGGGTGTGTGTGTTTGGGTGTGTGTGTGTGTGGGTGTGTGTGTGTGGGTGTGTGTGTGTGTCTGGGTGTGTGTGTTTGGGTGTGTGAGTTTGGGTGTGTGTGTGTGGGTGTGTGTGGGTGTGTGGGTGTGTACATTGGTACATGAGTGGGTGCGTGGGTGCGTGTGTGGGTGCGTGTGTGGGTGAGTGGGTGCGTGTGTGGGTGCGTGTGTGGGTGCGTGTGTGGGTGCGTGGGTGTGTACATTGGTACGTGAGTGCGTGCGTGGGTGAGTGCGTGCGTGGGTGCGTGTGTGGGTGAGTGGGAGTTTCGTGGGTGTGTACATTGGTACGTGAGTGTGTGGGTGCGTGGGTGAGGCTAGGGCAGCACGGTGATCTTCTTCTCGAGCCGCTGCTCGGGGAAGAGGCCGCCCCGCACGACGCCGTCGAGCTGGGCGAGCGCGGTCTGAGCGTGCGCCGCCGTCGCCGGGTCCCCGTCGCTCCGCGCCGCGTGCTTCAGCAGGCGGTAGAGGTCCCGCAGGACGTCCCGGAGCACCTGGGACGGCGGACAGGGAAGAGACAGAGAGACAGAGAGACAGAGAGACAGAGGTGAGGGAGTGCCGGGGGTGGTGGGACGACGGAGACGGAGATCCGCACAGTGCGGGATGATAGCGAGCGCCTGCTGAGTCCGGCACGCTGGCGATTGCCGTGTCGGGCGGGCGGGCTGGGGGGAGAGAGTTTAAAAAAACGAACCGAGAAAATGAACGTGGGGAGCCACGGCAGCGTAACCACTGCCGTGACTTCCCCTGTTTTTTTGCGAGGAGTGGCGGTGACGGGAAGGTAGGCAGACCCTCCTCCGGCTGATTAGATTGCCGTCTCTCTTTGCAGGAAAGTCGCCCGCTGCCGACGCGCCGACGCCCCCAGAAGGGCGATGCGGCGCTCCCGCTCGTCATCCGCCCGCTGGATTATCTGTCTCTCTGCTAACCCGTCTGCATCCCTGCCTGCCTGTCTATTTGTGTCTGTCTGCATTGCCGCACACCCATCTCTCTGCGTGCATCTGCCTGCCTGTTTGTCTCTCCGCTCACCGGTCTGTATTCCTGCCTGCTGTCTTATCTTGCCGTCACCATTCCGCGTGTGTCTGTGTCTACCGTCTGATTTCAGGCCGACCACGGGGCTGGAAAAACGTGGGCGGGGGGGGGGGGGGATGGTGGTGCAAGAGTTTGATGGCAGCACCAGGAAGGCGAGGCGGGGGGGGGGGGGGGGCAGCAGAGTAATTGCAGGATGTGGAGGAGGGCGTCTGTGAATATGGAATGAGTTTGTGTAAAATCCTCCAGGACCCACGGCCACGGCTTACACAGCGCAGAGTATCCTAACCTCCGGGACACACTGGCGGAGGGGAGAGAAGACATATTACCGGCCACGAACCCCCCCCCCCCCGCCCCCCCCCACACACGGCCCACCACCCCGGGCAATCGGTTCTCGACAGAGAGGCAAATAAATACGACGGTCCACGTGTCGGGCCCCCTTGCGGAGTCAGCAAGCGAGGCCTTCTCGGCCGTGGCTGCGGCACGATGGCACAGCGACGCCGGCTGGAGAGGCTGGAGAGGCTGGAGGGGCTGGAGGGGTTGGTGGGGCTGGTGGGGCGGGAGGGGCTGGAGGGGCTGGTGGGGCTGGAGGGGCTGGAGGGGTTGGTGGGGCTGGTGGGGCTGGAGGCGCTGGAGGGGTTGGTGGGGCTGGTGGGGCTGGTGGGGCTGGTGGGGCTGGTGGGGCTGGAGGGGCTGGAGGGGCTGGTGGGGCCGGGGTGGACCGAGGTCATATCAACACCGCGGCGGGTGGCCGGGCGAGATGATCGGAGCGTCCCTCGGGGATGGACGCGAGGCGTGGCGCTGACCACTCCCGCGGTGAGGCGGTCGCCCCGATGCCCAGACGCCCCGACAGTCACGGTGCCCCCCCCCCCCACCGCAACCCCCCCCCCCCCCCCCCCCCCCACCACCCCCCCCCCGAACTCCACCCACTGTTGGGTCGTGACGTCAGGAAAATAATCCTCAACGGGAGTTTGCACGTGCGGAGTCACGCACGGGGACGCACGTGTTGGACGGGGGGGGGGAGGGGCGTGGGGGATGAGTCCCCCCCCCTCTGTAAACGACCGCGATACAAAAAGGCGAGAGAGAGGAGTAAAAGGGGCAAGTTCAAAAAGCCATCTGCCTCTCGGGAAGAGGGGCCTTGGGGAAAATAAACAACGGTAATGGGGTGATTCGGCAAAGGGGGGTGGGGCGCCCCTGTTGTAGAGGAAGGGGGTGGGGCCCTGCTGTAGAAGTAAGCAGGCGGCAAGGCGATCGAAGGAGAGATAGTGCCCACGACTACACGGGGACGGGAGATAAGTTGAAATCTGAGGTTTGAGAAATGTTAGTGCGGACCGCGGGGTCACGAACGCGGCTCGTCGCCGCGAGTCGGAACGTCCTGGGGGGGGGGGGGGGGGGGGGGGTGGCCCTCTCGGCGTGCGGACGTACCGGGGGACGTACCGGCAGACGTGCCGGCGGACGTGCCGGCGGACGTGCGCATGCTGTGCCTGCGATCATCATCGTCCAAAAAGTGGGTCAAATTTGGCGGGCGGCTCTAAAACGCCGCCGATTTTGAGGAATGCGCCCGGTCCGCGCCCCGGAGCATCGGGACTAGGGCAGGGAAGGGAGGAGGAGGAGGAGGGGGGGGTGGCAACGTAACGCCGTGTTGCTTCTTTCATCACCACTTCACGTTGCGGCT